ATACACATGTTTATGTATTTGACTTCATTTTGATTCTCTGAATTCATGGTTAGCCCCCTTTGTGTGCATTTGCCAAATATCCATCCATCCATCCATTCGCTTCCACCTATCCTTTTTTAGGGTCGCAGGGGTGCTGGAGCCTATCCCAGCTGTCATAGGGCAAGAGGCGGGGTACACCCTGGACAGGTCATCAGTCTGTCGCAGGGCTAACACACAGGGACAGACAGCCATTCGCACTCACATTCACTCCCGCATTCACACCTATGGGCAATTTAGATTTTTCAATGAACCTATCCCCACAAAGTTCTCATCCTGTTTATTTTTCCTTGTGAAATTGTGAATATTTTCTGCAATAAATGCCTCTAAACACCTCAAAACAAGACAATCTGACAGGAATGTATCCATTTGTGCTTGGTTTAAAGCAAGGCTTTGTGAAACACGGAAACATTTAAAGCATGTGAGAATTGTGTAACTGTTTTGAAACAGTCTGATAACCATCTCCAAAGTGACTGGACACTTTTTTTTTTGCTGTTGCCATGAATTGATAATGGTATTCTGTGAAACCATGACACATAAAGGCCTTGCACAACTCTAATTTTACTTAGTATGCCAGACTATCAATTATAATGTTTTGGTTTTGAAAAATCATCATGCAGCATAGCAAGAAAAACTTTGACACTGTTAAAAACAGCAGGCTGTGACTAATGAGCAGCATGTTTCAGCAAATATCATTTCCCCTCCTGTTGCGTTAACATATGTGAGGTGGTTTCAGTTGCTTAATAATTCGATGCAATGCATAATGATAATATGCATTGCATATTTTATAACAAAAAACTGTTTTTGTTATAACCTCATATTTTTGTGGACTTAGATGTCACCTACTTTGAAGGTAGCTTAAGTAAAGTTAATTGAATGCTTCCAATTATGGTTATGCAAAATGAAAATCAAGTAACAATGTCTAAATTTGTTATTTCTAAAGCGTTTTCTTTCTTTCTTTTTTAGTTTTCTATAAGTTACCTCCTCAAACTTGATGTGATAGGTATAACAGGTATAAAAATCTATTTTTGCTAATGTAAAGCTGTGGATAAGCAACACATCCAGTGGATCGTGTTCTTAGAGCAAGCATTAGGGAACTCTGCTGTGGTTGCTGCCGATAACGACTTTTAGGCTTTCTGGGAGTTTCCCAGGCTTGTTCCAGCAGCAGAAAAGCCACCTATCCAAACTGAGAATGCACGAAAGCTTCAGTTCGCAGTGGTCATGAGACTTTCCACCCGGGCTTTGAAACTTAGTTTTGAACACCCAGTTCCTAGCTAAACGTAGGAGTGAGTCAACCCAAAAAGTTTATGAGGGTTTCTTGTATTTGTGTTAACACGTTTTATGGCATTCCAAGTAGCTTTTATTTACGATTATTTTTTTTGGTATAACTACAAAATTGCAGGATGTTTAAAGGTTCTTGTTTACAGAGAGTAAAATGTGCACATTACTGTATGTGCACTTTGTTTTACTATTGACAGGGTTACAACAACCCTGTCAATAGTAAAACAAAGTGGGCTGATTTATTTCATCTGCCCTGCTATCACCTCCGCTGCCGCTCACCTCTGCCAGCCGACGTTTGTGCCAAGCCTTCTCGAAGCCCTCGTTCCTGTTGGGGGACCCGTCAGGCCTGAAATCCCACAGCCCGTTCAGCTCCTTCACCTCCCTGGAGGTGGACTCCCGGGGAAAGAGCATGCCGCCGTCCAGCGGGAGCACCGTGCCAAACACTGATAGCAACCACAAGACACGGAGCACCGCGAAACTTCCAGGTACAGACATCCTGAAGCCCTCTTCTACTGCCCTCTCGGAGACGAACCCCGAAGTTTTCTTTGTTGTTCCGCTTTAGAGGTCACGTGACAACGGCATTACGTAACATCCCCACCGCTTTTCTGCTTAAAGCCCTCCAACGCTCTTCCCTTTTTTTCAGTCCTGTCATTTTCTCCCCTCAAGCTAATCTTTAACTCTTTCAGGCTGGAGACAGACGAAGTTTCGCATTTCAACGCTAAGCATTAACCTTTTATAAAAAATAGTAGGTTTACCCTGCCGACAGTTTCCCTGCCAGCGTTGGGGTTTTTTTTTGTTTTGCTTTGTTTTTTGGCCGACAGACACAGTTTCCTCACTTTTCATCTTCCTTAAAAAAAGGAAAATTTGAAAAAAATCAGCTGCTATATTCAGAATTAAATGTTTTAGTTCTTCTAATGTGACATTAAAGTAGGCAGGAAACATCCAGGATGTCACCAAAGAAACTAACTTAGCACACTATGTCTGTTTGTCATATCTAAGTCATATCTGTTTTCACATGAATTCGAAATGCAGATTCAAAGTTCACTGCTTTTGTTTACACTTAAAGGTTCAACAACTGGAGACAACCGATAGATCCAGTGTAATCCACAACTTCCCAGTTACAGTCTCAAGAAGACACCATTTTAATCAAGCCCTCACTCCTCCTTGCCACAAGATCACTCTGGGAGGATTACTAACACCCAAATATCCTGGGCAGAAGGGAGCAGGAGTCAAAGGACATAAATGTTTAACCACAGGAGGGCCAAGTCCACTAACAGTTCTTAGTTAAAAATCCAGCCTTGAGTGAACTGCTTCATCAAGCTTAAGTAGGAGACAGCTCATAATCAAATAACCCACAGGTGAGATAATCAGCCCAGGTGCACAATGTTGGTAGGCAGGAGATGGAGGAAGAACCGCCTCTGAAACACAGGGTGTAGTTAGTACGCACGCACACATACACACACACACACACGCACGGAGAGAGAGAGCGAGAGAGGTGAGTCTCTCTCTCTCTCTCACACACACACGGAGAGAGAGAGAGGTGAGTCGGCCAGGAGCACTGAGGGTCCATGACACTGTCTAGAATCAAATTTTGACTGTGACTCAGTTTCCAATCATAATGCCATGCATACAGTGACCTGTTGCTTACAAACATATTAAACCTTTTTCACCTACCTAAACCTCTGTTCAACTCTATCCAAATTTACAATTATACTATATTTATATTATAAAAACGACCCAAGCACAACTATTGTAGTGTCTAAAAACTATTTAGACCTAATAATCACAGATTTCAATAATTTTATAGCCTTGGGTTAGTTATCAAATCTAAGGCCAAAGCTCATACACGTCCTTCCTTTATTGTGCAGATTCAACAAGGGGCAGGTACCTCCGTTCAAAGAGGGGAGAAATAGACTTCGGTGTTACAGCTGTAATTTAAAACCATGTTTGGAGTGCAGTGGATCCTGTTAAATGTCACAGTTCATATCAATGCATATATTCTCTTTAGAACCTCAGCTGACATTTTGAAGTGAGTCATTGGAAAGAACACAAAGCAAGCATGAAACCTCATTCTTCTGCACTTGTGTCTCTGTCCATCCTCCTAATTGCTTTTCTGGATTGACGTTCCCACATAAACACTGTTTGTGTTGACTTTGACTACACTTTAACCCTTTAGTTAAATGTCTGCCACTTCATCACTTTCTTGCCCTTTCCGTCTCCCAGTTATAAAGGGCAGAGTGGATGGGAACTATCATATTATTGATTCTTAATCATTGACTTATTCATTTGTTCATGTGTGTACCCCTTTAATCCTGCAGTTGGAGATGGGTTTAATTACTTATATAGTCATGGGTAGCTTCAGCTATGATAACTAAAGCTTTAGTAATACAGGTGTGTGATTCCAGAAAGTTTTAGAAAGATCATCAGAAAGGTAGTTCAAGAATAATAGCTGTTTAAGTCCACAGCTAGGTTAGTTAAAATATTAATACTCATATGAGATTATTCAGCTGGCTATGCAAAAGAGTACAGAGGAGGACATCATGGCTGACTCAGAAGAGATAGTAATAAGGAAGAAAATTAAGAATAATTTCCTAGATAAGCAACAGAGCCTCATTGCATAATATTCCAGTTTATGGTGGAAAACAGGAAATAAATCATCTGATGATAATATCCTATTAGGGAGGATCCCTCAGACCAACAACTGTATGGAAAAAAAAATCATTGATCTACCACTCATTAAGCATTTCTCAATAGGTATGTGTTACATGGAGAGGCTTCTTATATTTAAATGTTAATACCCTAACAGATGTTTTGTGAGCCAGTCCAACCACATTTACTGTTTTAAATGATGGTGAACATAAGCACACAGGTATATGTCCCAATTGAAATAAGACGTGGCAAACTTTAGCTTATTTTAATATGCTTATTGTTTACTTTGAGATCAGTTTCCATCTAACCTTTCTTCTATGATACAGTAGTGTGCACATGCCAGGAATAAACCCTTGATGTCATTTCCCAGTATTATGTCTACCATCTTTCCTCTGAGTAACCTGCTTGATGTCAATAGATGGCACAGCATCTTTGCAAATAAAAAACCCTGATAACCTTCAGCATTCTCCAGAAGGTGAACCTAACCATACTACCGTTTTTGCAATGACTTAGCACTGAAGCGCAGGCAAAGCTGGTCTTGTTATAGTAATGTCCTTTAATTCAGGACCCTTATCATGAAACTTTGTTGTAGCTAGTAGTACACAGCATACCATGATGTTAATTCAAGGCAATATTTAACTACTTTCAGAGTTCCAATGCATTTATTCCTAATGTATTTTCACATTCATACATGAATGTGAAAATGTGTTTAGATGTAAACAGATATGATGTTTCACATTCATACATCATATCTGTTTACATCTAAACATGCATGGAACCAGAAGTCCTTTGGCTGACAGTTTATACAAGTATTTGTTCTTTAAAAAAAAAAAAAGAAAGAAAAAAGTATGCTTTGATTATAATCTATGCAACAGCTTTACATGAATCACAGTTCAAGGCAGACATAGTATAGTTGTGTTTTATTCAGGAGTAAAGTTTAAAGTTTGCAGGCCTGTTCTTTTTCCAGCATAAACATATTCCCCCCCCCCCCCAAAAAAATAAAATAAATCAAGTGTCTCACACCCTCTTGCCGTCTGTCATATACAAAAAGCAGCAACACTTAAGTGGCGTTCAATCCTTTATTGATATGCAACATTTGGTCACAAAAGGTTAAAACCTTAGCAGTGGGTAACAATTTCGTAACAAGGTATTCATACCATCAGCTGTTTATTTTAAGGAAGCAACATTAATGGAATTGTATTGAATCATTTCTTTACTGCCCACCCCTGAGACGCAGAACAAGGTGGAGGGTGGACTCCTTCTGGATGTTGTAGTCAGAGAGGGTGCGGCCATCTTCCAGCTGCTTGCCAGCAAAGATCAGCCTCTGCTGGTCGGGGGGAATGCCCTCCTTATCCTGGATTTTGGCCTTGACGTTCTCAATGGTGTCACTGGGCTCAACCTCCAGGGTGATGGTCTTGCCAGTGAGGGTCTTCACGAAGATCTGCATGCCACCCCTGAGACGCAGGACAAGGTGGAGGGTGGACTCCTTCTGGATGTTGTAGTCAGAGAGGGTGCGGCCATCTTCCAGCTGCTTGCCGGCAAAGATCAGCCTCTGCTGGTCGGGGGGAATGCCCTCCTTATCCTGGATTTTGGCCTTGACGTTCTCAATGGTGTCACTGGGCTCAACCTCCAGGGTGATGGTCTTGCCAGTGAGGGTCTTCACGAAGATCTGCATGCCACCCCTGAGACGCAGGACAAGGTGGAGGGTGGACTCCTTCTGGATGTTGTAGTCAGAGAGGGTGCGGCCATCTTCCAGCTGCTTGCCGGCAAAGATCAGCCTCTGCTGGTCGGGGGAATGCCCTTCCTTATCCTGGATTTTGGCCTTGCACGTTCTCATGGTGTCGCTGGGCTCAACCTCAAGGGTGATGGTCTTGCCAGTGAGCGTCTTCACGAAAGATCTGCATGCCACCCCTGAGACGCAGGACAAGGTGGAGGGTGGACTCCTTCTGGATGTTGTAGTCAGAGAGGGTGCGGCCATCTTCCAGCTGCTTGCCGGCAAAGATCAGCCTCTGCTGGTCGGGGGGAATGCCCTCCTTATCCTGGATTTTGGCCTTGACGTTCTCAATGGTGTCACTGGGCTCAACCTCCAGGGTGATGGTCTTGCCAGTGAGGGTCTTCACGAAGATCTGCATGCCACCCCTGAGACGCAGGACAAGGTGGAGGGTGGACTCCTTCTGGATGTTGTAGTCAGAGAGGGTGCGGCCATCTTCCAGCTGCTTGCCGGCAAAGATCAGCCTCTGCTGGTCGGGGGGAATGCCCTCCTTATCCTGGATTTTGGCCTTGACGTTCTCAATGGTGTCACTGGGCTCAACCTCCAGGGTGATGGTCTTGCCAGTGAGGGTCTTCACGAAGATCTGCATGCCACCCCTGAGACGCAGGACAAGGTGGAGGGTGGACTCCTTCTGGATGTTGTAGTCAGAGAGGGTGCGGCCATCTTCCAGCTGCTTGCCGGCAAAGATCAGCCTCTGCTGGTCGGGGGGAATGCCCTCCTTATCCTGGATTTTGGCCTTGACGTTCTCAATGGTGTCACTGGGCTCAACCTCCAGGGTGATGGTCTTGCCAGTGAGGGTCTTCACGAAGATCTGCATGCCACCCCTGAGACGCAGGACAAGGTGGAGGGTGGACTCCTTCTGGATGTTGTAGTCAGAGAGGGTGCGGCCATCTTCCAGCTGCTTGCCAGCAAAGATCAGCCTCTGCTGGTCAGGGGGAATGCCTTCCTTGTCCTGGATTTTGGCCTTCACGTTCTCGATGGTGTCGCTGGGCTCAACCTCAAGGGTGATGGTCTTGCCAGTGAGCGTTTTCACAAAGATCTGCATGTTTGCGCCTGTATAAAATTTGATGGATATTAATTAAGAATTAAAAGCAATTTAAAACATTCCACATTACTCCAACACACACACACAAAATCAGGATAAATAGATAAAGATGAATTATTGATTAAAAAGCTCTTTACCCCCTCCCCCCCAAAAAAATATAAATGCATTAGAAATTACATTACTTTAAGTTTAAGCTCAAATATGGATTTGAAAGAAAAGGTTCTTTAAAAAAAAAGAAAGAAAAAAAGTATTAAATAATATTACTATGAAGCGCCTAAGAATGAGAACGGCAGGAGACATTTCAGCCCAAGCGCCATTTTGAGATCTCAGTGACCTTCCTTTTGTTCAGCAGCCGGTAATGGAGGTTACTGGAAATGTTGAGTCACTGCTGTAAGCGAACGTTACCAAAACGCTGCTGCGTAACAAAAGGGTAGTAAAAAGAAAGAAAATCGACAATGGAACGACGACGACATACGTATCAACTTTATATAAGAGAAAAATATAATTCGGACGGACTACTGTATTTTGGAGACCTTTGTTACCTCTCGTTAGCGCAACCCAAATATCGTTCAACACAATGATACTAATGCAACATATTTATTAAAAAACAAACGTTTCTGGAATATCAAAAGACATAGAAATAGGAAAATACTTACGACTGGTAAGTGAGGCGAAAAACTGCTCTGAGGCACGAAATTGTCTTTCTCTTTTCTTTCACGTAGGTCTGCGGGAGCAATGTCTAGCAGTGTGTTATATAGTATGGAGGTGCACACGTCATCCAGAAATCTCCATCCGCGTTAATAAGTAGTTCCTACCCTCCCAAAAGTCACTGCTTCAATATTTATAAGTCCAATATTTATAACTTAGTTCTACAATAATATTTTTTTTAAAATTAATTTACTCATAAACGTAATTATTTCAAAGTCGAAGCTATTACGTTTGCAAGAATGCACTCATAAATCCTCCACCGCGGAATGATATCATCTATGCACTACGACTCTGGCTCTATGCACTACGACTCTGGAATTTGCTCGAACCAGCACAGCAACGGGAATCTTCCCCGAGCTTCTGATTGGATGACACAGTTGTTTGTTTGATCAGCGATTGGTTGCTGTGTTACAGTAAGTAACATTTCATGATAAAGTTATGGTTATGTCCAATGACTGGTTATGACAATAAGGTTAAAAAAGGAGCTTAAACGTGACCTAAATCGACAAAACATTATATATATTTTAGGCTACGTGTCACATTCAAGCGTCGCGTCATGGATATAGATTGAAAAATAAGAGTTCGCCATGTCAGAATGACTATTCGTATGACTAACATACCGAAGACTGACATGTACACTCAGGAAGTGTGTTCGTCTCTATCAGATATTTCAACCTTTAACAGATGGCAACGCGCTTAGTAAATGTAATAGCAGCTGACGCGACAGCGGGATATTTTAAGGCGGAAGTTCGCCTCTATGGCCGACCTCATTTATTTTTTTTTAGCAAGACATCCTTATTACACTGCGCATCTAAAAAAAAGAATGCGTTAATGATGAATAGTCAGGACATCAGTACAAAATACTGATTATGGGCACAACGTGTATGCATAGATGCACAGTATATGCACACCTAACGTTGATGATAAGCAAGGTTTAGCAGACCTGATGTGCTTATTTGCTGTGTTGCCAACTTATAGGGATCTGTTACTGTGTAACTTAAAACTAAGTAGCTTATTCAAATGCTAGCTTGGTTTATTTGAATCTTGTTGTTATCAGTGAAAATATGCACATAAAAGTTACTATAAAGTAAAAGCATGACTAGTATGTTTCTCTTTAGTCTCATGATGCACATGCACAGACAGGTCATTGTCAAATCTCCACTGGAGAGATAAACCTGTATGGGGGGTAGAAATTCAACTACATTATCTACATTGCTGAACACAATGATAAACAATTAGTTTCCTCATAGAGTATAATAAACTTATTCAGGCCTCACAGACATATTGTTATCTTTGTGGCTTGGGCTGAACAGTTCTAACAGCTTTAGTGTAATGCTTACACCTACTTTGTAATCCCTCAGGTAATATGACATCTCTTCATTTTATTTCCATGAGCAATATCAAGAAAACACGAGTTCATCTAGTTTCGGCATGTTGTCAACACGCAGTTGAAACTAGAACATTCCAACAAGGTAAAGTCAGATTGAACATTGTAGGGAATGACTGCAGGTCATTAAGTGATCTATCTGTTTAGAGCATCTAATTTTTTGTATTTCCTGGTTTCCAAAGTTTATTTCCAGGACTGTAATTACTGATCAGTGCCCACTTTTAGCACCCACCACTATTTAAGGTAGCACTGTAAACTAAATCAGCTTGGGCTCATGGGGCCTTGTGGGTTTCTATTTTTGGGAGTTTGGCTATAATGCAGCTCTGAGAGCCCTGATTCAAATAAAATATGTATTTGGGTCACAGCATTCTGTTAGCCCACCCCTCTGGCACTGTGTCATATGAAACCCAACTCATGATGCACCACGCCTTTGCTTTCCAACACAGAGCAGGGCATCTGGCTGATCTAGTTCTGCCTCTGAGGAATGTGTTTGTGCAAGCCTGCTGTACCTCGCCCTGCCCTTTGTTATGTGGACTATCTCAAAGTGTTCCAGGAAAAGATTGCAAGCAGGAAGTAGGTCTGGTTAACATGGAATCAACATGTTCACACCTTGGAAAAACAAGAAATCTGACTTTTATTTTAAATATAAAATGAGCACATGAGTTGCTGTGTTTGAATCAAAAGCTTAGCTTCTGTAGGTAAAAGGTTCTTTATCAATTCAAATGTGGTTCTTATCAGAGCTGCACTTTAATCAGGTTCATTGTTTTCCATGGCAGGATGACTGGAACATTTGATTGGGAGCTCCACGTCAGCAAGTTTCACAACTAACATGTGACACCCTTTCAACCGGAACTTTACGTAAGACTTGGATAGAGACATTCTAGCATTTTCCTTCACGTGGCTTAAAAAGGTGAATCCTTACCAAATCTCACTGTAAATGTATTTATACTGATTCAATTACAGCATGGACCTGGTGAAACATACAGGTGGCTGCCACTGTGGGGCTGTGCGATTTGAAGTCTGGAATTCCCCAGACCTCCATGTTTTTCATTGCAAGTATGAACAATTAATTCAGTGATAGAAACTAGGTAGTAATTCTGGAACATAGCCTAAACGTTCAAATATCTTATTCATGCCATGTTGAAGGCATTTCAAACAACAACGTACACTTTAATCCATATGAACTGATATGTTCTCTCCAGTTGCAGCATTTGCACAAAGAAGCAAAATCATCATTTCATTGTGCCAAAAAATCGCTTCACGCTCTTACAGGTAAGGAACTTTGCTTGAAACGCATTGTTTTATTCAATATACAGTACTGTGCAAAAGTCTAGAGGCACCCTTATTTTTTATGTATCGCTTCCAAAGGAGCCTGACTCTTCTATAATTTTTCAAAGTGGTCTTAACCATTAATTCTTCAGGCTTTCTGAAGGTTGTCAAAAAGCCGGAATTAATTATTCATGAAGCCACTTATGGCTTATGAATCTATGAATCATTCAAGCATAAAATAGCACCTGACTCAAGCTGTTAGCTAAAAACATGGAATATCTTGGCCTTAAAAAAAAACTGAGGAAACTGTAAGGTGGAGGACAAAAGAATGACTGGCAGGCCTGTCTCCAGCAGATGAGCAGTATCTGAAAGTCATGTTCCTAAAAAACAATCCCAGACAATTTTTCCTGAAGACTATTTAAATAAATTACAGGACAGTTCGTCTGGAAGAATTCAGGCTGTGTGGAAGAATAAAGGTGGCTACACCAAATACTGACTTTCATTCAAATCTACTTTTGCCTTATATACTGTATTTCGATGTATGTTTGCACATATATTAAAATTAATTACTGCACCTAGCAAAATTAGGGTTGACCCAAGACTTCTACAATCCTGGATATTTAAAATTTACATTGAATTTTAGCATACTTTGTTTTATTTTTTTCCATTCTTAGGGTTTGGAAAATCTGACCACGTACACATTTAACACTCATGTTGCAAAACACACCTTCTGTAAAACCTGTGGAGTTCAAAGTTTCTACACACCACGCTCCAACCCAGACGGATATGGTATGACCCTGACAACTCACCGACACACTTGGTCTCATGTGTTGTAAACAGAATTCAACACCCCGCTAATGTTTACTCCACACCAACCAACCCAGTTGTCTCTTTAATGTCATGTTTTTATGCTATTTGTAGCAAACAGACACTGTATGTTCACAGTGGGATTTGAATGCAAATCAAATGACAACCTTCTGTTATTCATGTCTTCATCTCAATTAGGCATTGCTCCACATTGTCTCGATCCAGGTACTGTGCACAGTGTCACAGTGGAGAACTTTTGTGGGGAGAAGTGGGAAGAAAGTATGCAAGTTCACGAAACTATCAGAGACATGTCAAAACCAGAGGAAAACCAACCTACTGTCATATAAGAAACTTTATTTTTCAATCAGCATGACATCAGAAACATTCAACAGTACTTTCATTGGTCTTTAAAGTAATAAAAAAAAAGTCATAACCCCTTGGAAAAGCTTAATACTCTATATTTTAATACAGTGTTGTGACTGAGTCAATAAAAGTTTTTCTGTAACAAAAAAGGATGAGAAGTTTCTTCTATTATTAAATATTATCTAGAAAATAACAGTGTTTAAGAAAAATGCATATCACCTACTGCTGTTAACAGAGTATCAAAGACATTTGTAAACAGCTTCTAAATTCCCTGTAGTGTAAGAAATGTGGCAATCAGTGCATCAGAGCTTTTAATAGATCTTCAGGTTCTTTGGTCCCTGAGCAATGGTTTGGAATGTGTTTATGAACATGTAGCGTGAGAACGTGATGTAGAGGTAACGAAACCACAGCAGCTGAGTGCGATGGCACAGCATGGCAGCCTGAAAAAGACACAAAGTTGTTTTTAAGGGAGATAATACAACTCGCACTTCTCGCTCTACCTCTGAGAAAGAGTCCAGCCACCCTTTAGAGGATGTTCATCTCTGCAGCTCGTATCTGCGATCTCATTCTTTTGGTCAATACTGAGAGCTCGCGGTTGTAGATCAATCGATAAATCAACAGGTTTGCTCTCTTGTCACCACTACAGATGACTACAGTGCGTGGATCACAGCAGACACGCCCAATCTGCCTGTCGATCTCCCGGTCCATTCTCCCCTCAGTCACATTAACAGCAGTGTCATGTTATCTAATATAACATGAAAACATTTCCAACAGTTTCATGTTAGATAAAATGAAACTGTTGGAAATGATAACAGATAATTGACAAATGTACTTTTCCTTCAAAAACAGGGACAGTTTGAGTGTTAGTGTAGACTGTACATGATCTTATTAGAGTGTGCACTTCTCAGAGTAGAGAACATAAAGTCCTGCCAACACACAGTCTCTAGTTGGAGGCTTACTTTGGCTTGCTTGTAGGGCTTTGAGCCTATAATACAGCAGACACACGAGGGCAGAAACCAGCTGAGGGGAACATCCAGGAAGGAGATGTACTTCCTGAGAAGGCCAACGGTCACCAGGGAGAGCAAAGTGCAGTCTGGGAGAAAAGACAGAGCTGTTAATGTTTTTAAATGCTTATTTCAGAAGCATACAATTAACGAGGCCATCGTCCAGGCGCCACGCCAGCACAACGTCATCGTTTGTGATACAGTTTATTTGAAGTGAGAATGCCTGGTACTGCTATGCTACACAAAAACACAAACTGTCAGTACTTCTTTCAGTTATTGTCTTGTGGCAGAAACACGTGAACCTTAGAGGTTTAGGAAAAGAGCAGGGAGCTTTGTTTTACTGCTGAGTGACGAGGATTAATGTCACTCTGAATTCTCATCTACTTCCCCTTTACTGTAAGACCAGTCTAACAGCTGAGGTGTAAATTCCTACTAACAAAGAACCACAGTTAATGGCATGCTGCTGGTCAAGATCATCCACTGAGCTCATGTGGGCAAAGCGGATTGACGAGCTTCTACCACAGAAACAAGTGTGTTTGTGTTTATGGTGTGGGTTCATGATTACCTGAATGTCTGTTTCTTATCACCTCTCTCCTCAAATATGTATGCTTTGATATGGCCTGTGGGCTGTAATGTTTATCAGATAAGCAAATAAGGTTGTGTAGCATGGCCCCCCACCTCACTGACCTACTTTTCCTTCTACATTCTGTTAGAAAGAATTCCCAGAATTTATCACCACGAGAACTTAGAAAAACAAAGTGAAAATTTAGTCATTTTGGAAATTCCTTAAAAAAAAAAGAAAAAAAAAGATTCCTCTTAAAGAAACACAAAAGACATTCTAATATCTGCGGTCAACAAGTCTTCAGAAGTTTGATGGTACATTCTTATCACATTTAGAGTTTAGGTCCAATTCATTCTTCCTGCTGCCACCAACAGACCAGCGCCTTTAGTGGAGATACAATGCTCATGGGGCTTTTATGAACAGTAGAGGGCGCTGTACATTAACAAACCAGCCAGTGTACTTTGCATGGTTCTCTGCAAAAACGCAGCTGGAGAGGTGGCGTTTCTCCTGTGAAAGAACTTTGCATTTTAATATAAAGTGCTACCTAAAAGCTTTCATGGTGATGAACATATTCACAACAAGCATACTGTACTGTAAGCAGGATAAAGTACCCCAAGAATTACTTTTACAGACGACTGTTCTGAGAGTGATCAGTGAATCTAACGCTCCTGAGCTTAGAAACCTCTTAAAAGTTCTCCCAGTGTCAAACCTACCATTGGGTACTTCTCCAGTGGAAGCGAGATGCCTGTAAGACAAAATAGTGAACATCAGTGCTGCACACAGAAAATGTCATGGAAGTGGCCACTCTGCGTGTGTGTGTGTCGAAGGATATATCAAATGCTGGGAGGTTTTTGGAAGTTTTCCTGCACTTGCATTTTTTTATGCAATGGTTATTAACACGCTGACAGAAAATGACAGCACACTGTCAAGATTTAGAGGCTGTGAAACTCGCACTCAGCCTCTCCCCCTTTTGTGTTCCAGTCAAATGGGAATTTCCAGGTTCGATCTGGAGAGCACAAATCTCATTAAGGCCCACAAATGAACAGAGAGCCTTATGAGAGAAAAGAGCACGGCTCACTGCACAGACAGGTAAGTGTGGTACAGGGACTACGATGTTCTCTTCAGTGTGCAAAACACTTTTTCTTTTCTTTTTTTTGGTTTCAAACCAACAGTCTGATGCAACTTCTTGCTTGGTCGGCCTCTCCAAACCAAAGCTGCCCTCCCACCTCACCACTTCAGGGACAGGATTTACTGTTGCTCGCTGGGAGCAGAGCCGAGTGCCTCTGAGGACTCTGTTTGGATGACCTCTCAGCTATGTAACAGACCAATTCTGAAAAACATGGTGTGTGTGTGTACTTGTGGGGAAACATTTGGAACGATGGATGTTGATGTGGGTCCAAATGTTCAGCATTTTCCTGGATTGTGTTTAATGATAGCAGGGTGAATTGCTTTCTGTGTTTAAGTCACAGAGATTCCCTCAAAATGGCATCTTAAAGTTAAGGAACTGAAGAAATAAAATAAAAAGGTTTTCCTGATGGCAAAAATCTTTAAAGTCTTTCCTGTACCTGACGGCGTTATAGATAGCTATGTGATTGGCATGGCCGCTCACGCCGCTTCCATCGAAGGTCAGCACCTGAAACAACAAAATATGTCACTGTGTGGGTGAAAAGCCGAGTCTGGGTATCTAGAAGCCGAGGCAAAGGCAGCAAGAAAGATTTTCTTAGGTTTATGTGTGTGACTGTGGAGGCTTTTTGGCAGCCGACAACTGATATTTAAAAGCCTTTTTTGTGCATGCATGCTTGCGCACCAGAGGAAACAGGTGAAAAAAAAAATCAGGTCAAAGGGAAGAGAACAAAACTCTCAACTAAAAGACTTGAAGTGTTTGCTCTGCTCAGGCGATATTCTACCATGACTTTGCAATCAAGCACAAGTTTAAGCAGCCAAACCAATATGTTATAAATAACGCATGATCTTTGCATCTAACTGCAAAAACACTTCAACCAAAGAAACAACATTATTCAGTTGGAAAAAAAGGAAATGGAAGTCTGTTCCCTCTGTGCTTTCCCCTGCTTATATTCATTAGAGAAAATGTTTTCTTTGCAACTGAAAGGACTCTTTAAGTTACTTTTTCACTAAAGGTGCTTTTGGCTGTGACGCGTGACAGGATGGGAGGAGACTGCCTGTTTGTTTGTCATCTTTGATAGCCAAAAAAGATCAGCAGCTAAAGCAGAATAACTCAGTCGTGCTTCTCCATTTTCTACAATGAAGACCCCCACCCCACGCCATTACTGCTGCTGTGCTTTCTGTGACTATTTTTGTTGTTGCTGAGAAAGAAATTGTCCAATTCTCAATTTACATCATTCCCATTAACTAATAGTGCGGAACTGCATTGAGTATGATAAGAATCTCTGCATACACACAGAGCACAGGCCATTTCCCCCTGGCTTCAAGGAGCCTCAAAATGCAGTCTAGTCAGGACTGAAAAGGAAGGCAGCTGACAAGGTTATTATGCAGACCACCGTGAAACTGGGATAATCAACAAGGAAGCTGCGGTGCCAAAACACATTGTACAAAGAAAACAATACAGTACATGTATTTCTAACATATAATGGCGGGGAAATTGTGCGGTGACACCGAACAGGAAATGACACAAAAGCCACTTCTTTGAAAGGCACGAACCAAACACAGAGTGGGGCGTACCATGTTGATGGAGTGAGCTCTTATGTGCTTCAGGATTTCAGAGGAGACCAATGAGACGCTCCATTCTGCTTTGGGATCATCTGGGAGTTTTCTGTAGGGCAAAAAAAAAGGAAGAAAGGGACTGCGGTTATGTATCCAGTTAGTATTAAAACAGAGTTATACAGTGTCTGCTTTGTAACCAGTTTGAACATTTAACACAGCATTTTATTAAAAAAAAAAAAAAGGGCTGTTGTAGAATGCAAACATGTGGGAGCGCTGGGAAATACAGAGGTTATGGATCTGAAGGCCCTTAGTATTGTGTATATCTGAAACGCCTGGAGGCCCTCGTTTCCACAAACATCACACTTGGCCTGCTGACTCTCTTGGCCCACTAACATGCACACTCCCTTTAGGCTATAAAACGGAAGCACTGCTTTCTATGGTTGTTCAATGTCCTAAACTCGAGAGACAGAGAAAAAAAAGAAACACAATATAAAC